GTAAAATTCAAAGATAGTAAAATAATTCAAAAGAAAGATAACAATAAGTTTATTTATAATAAAGTCAATCATTTAATACCACAATTTTGATAAAGAACATATAAAACAAATAAAAAGAATATAAAAATATTAATGAAGAAATTAATTTTTTCTTATATATATTTATGATCAAAAGTCATATTATTAATCAAAAAAAATATTAGAAAAATTTGAATAAAAAATAATTAGCAATTTCAAATCTCATCAAAAAATAAAAATAATAGATTTTAAATTAAAAAATTAAATTATTATCAAAGAAAATAAAAAAATATCATTAGCCCTCATTGCTTTAGGCCCCAAATATTTTTGAGTCACCCCTAAAGTTGACTTTTTTTGCTACCAGAAGTTGGAACTCGAATCGGTGATGTGCAGATTCACTCGTTATTCATTGTTTGACAATTGAATCAACTTGCGTCAATTACAATTAAATTTTTTAATTTTGAACTGTCTAAAGAAATCTATTTTTTTTTGTGTGTATTCGAACTTATCCTTTCTTTCTTGTTTAATTATTTATTACTATATAGAGGACTTTGTCTATGTGTCTTTCATAAATACTTTATATACCTTTCCACAATATTTTATGAAATAGATCGTTTGAAATTCTCAAAATTAACAATGTGAGATCTCTATTGTCTAGTCATTCGTATTGAGTTTTTACTCTCATAAAGAAAATTATCGTAGATAAAGTATCTTTTCTCGTACCTTTTGTTTTTCCTTCAATAATAGATGGTTGAAAGTGTATTAATAGTTCAAATTGTTTCGCATACACTATAATACTGTTTACATTTGACTATCTCAAACCCCACGTTGGGAGAGACTCGTATACTAGACCATTATTTCAGTGATAGATTATCCTCCATTTACCTAAAAATTAGATATTTTGTTAAAACACTTNTTCCCTTCGGCAACTCAGTCAGAGATCTTAGAACATATCCCAAATCAAGTACCAACGAACGAATAACGTTACAGACACGAACTGTAAATTTAAATATCTTAAATTTAAATTTTTATATCTTTTTAAAATCAAATCCTTCATGTATAATATCTTAATCTTTTCGTTGATGACTTATCTTTGATCGAATCAAGGAAGAGATTAGTTGATGTGTGCATAAATTAGTTCGGACGCTCCTGATCGTTGAACCCAAAAAAATAAATAAATAATAATATTAGAGGGACTTAATTTAATGTAGTGATTAATTAAGTTGTGAATTTCAATTTTAAGTGGAATTTTCTTTTAATTTAATAACTATATTAAATTAAGTTCTCAAATTAAATCCGAATAATATTTTTCAATACCAAATTACCCTCCTTTTTCAATTTCATTCTATTTAACAGTTATGTTTAACATATTTCTCATTATATCGTAGTTTAAACCCATGAACTTTAACGTACAAAATGTTTTTGGAACACATATTTTTAGTAAAAAAAATTGAGGAAAAGATAGTCATCTCTCTAAACTTCTGTAAGCTATAACTATCTACCCCTTAATGAGGACATCTAAAGTCCAGTTTAAATGCGTAATAGAGCCCTTCAGGAAGTATAAAAGAGAAAAAAAAAATATTGATAAAGAGAGGATATTACTGAATGAAACGGCTATAGCTCTTGCATGAACTATTGAAAAGATTATTGCGAAAGAAGTCGAGATATAAGAAAAAGAAATAAATTTGAAGTGTTGTAAACGACTAAGATATAAAACAAAACAGAATGTATCGAATTTTTAATAGGTACAACCATTAAACCAAAGACCAAAACAGGGCTCGTCAAAACCAAAAACGAGTGTTTGCAAAATATATTTTTATAAAAATAACTAAAACTATGTTTTCATGAAAATAATGATAAATCGACGACAAAAATGACATAATGTTGAAAATGGTCGATAAAATGGTCAAGAATTACCCTTACCTCGTACAAAAAAAAACATAAAACTCTTCTTGTGCTTTTCTACGTTGGATACACTTGAGTACTTGTTTATGGAACTGGTTAGCATATTCTTGCCCACAAGCCGCTTGGTTTGTGGCCGAAGCAACCTACACATCATTGCCGTTTGTAAGTGCAAGTTTCTTTGATTTTGACAATCATTGAAAGTTAATTTGAAAGTAATGTGTATCATCGTCTTTTAAGTTTATGATTGTAATATAAATTATAAATAAATAAAATTTTATATCCCGGTTAAAGTTGACCAAGGCCAAACCTATAGTATAAAGATAAAAACGAGGGTTTTGAGTCCCACATATGAAAAATACCCCAAATTTAAGGATCAATAATGTAATATAAGCCAAAAAAATAAACTTTACTACAATATAGCCTAACAAAATAATTTCTGAAAGAGTAAACCAACAAAAAAATTAAAAATTTGAACCCAAAAGTCCAAACCACCTCACACAATCACATTTATTAAAGAACAAAAAAAGATTAACAAAAAAATTAAAGTTCTGATAAAATCTATCTCTATCTCTAATCAAAATAAGTGAAATATACATCTCTCGTTAGTCCAAAAAAAAAAATTAAATTAAACACATTCTTTATTTCTCTTAAATTTATTTTCTTTTTCTCATTTGAATGTAAAACACCAATTAAACCATTCATTCTCATTAAAAAAATGTTTTGATAAAGTTTTTATTCTAAACAAATAAAATATAACAAAAATTTATGTGAAAATTGTATAGATAAATAAGTAAAATTCAAAGATAGTAAAATAATTCAAAAGAAAGATAACAATAAGTTTATTTATAATAAAGTCAATCATTTAATACCACAATTTTGATAAAGAACATATAAAACAAATAAAAAGAATATAAAAATATTAATGAAGAAATTAATTTTTTCTTATATATATTTATGATCAAAAGTCATATTATTAATCAAAAAAAATATTAGAAAAATTTGAATAAAAAATAATTAGCAATTTCAAATCTCATCAAAAAATAAAAATAATAGATTTTAAATTAAAAAATTAAATTATTATCAAAGAAAATAAAAAAATATCATTAGCCCTCATTGCTTTAGGCCCCAAATATTTTTGAGTCACCCCTAAAGTTGACTTTTTTTGCTACCAGAAGTTGGAACTCGAATCGGTGATGTGCAGATTCACTCGTTATTCATTGTTTGACAATTGAATCAACTTGCGTCAATTACAATTAAATTTTTTAATTTTGAACTGTCTAAAGAAATCTATTTTTTTTTGTGTGTATTCGAACTTATCCTTTCTTTCTTGTTTAATTATTTATTACTATATAGAGGACTTTGTCTATGTGTCTTTCATAAATACTTTATATACCTTTCCACAATATTTTATGAAATAGATCGTTTGAAATTCTCAAAATTAACAATGTGAGATCTCTATTGTCTAGTCATTCGTATTGAGTTTTTACTCTCATAAAGAAAATTATCGTAGATAAAGTATCTTTTCTCGTACCTTTTGTTTTTCCTTCAATAATAGATGGTTGAAAGTGTATTAATAGTTCAAATTGTTTCGCATACACTATAATACTGTTTACATTTGACTATCTCAAACCCCACGTTGGGAGAGACTCGTATACTAGACCATTATTTCAGTGATAGATTATCCTCCATTTACCTAAAAATTAGATATTTTGTTAAAACACTTATAATCTCCTAGGCATTAGTGAGAAATCAAATGTGACCAATGAAAAAAAAAAAAAAGAAGAAAGAAAGATGTGGTCCCACATAGATATTTCATCTGCAATCAATATCCTCATCACTCACAAGTCACAAGATACTACCAACCAGCCATTAATTTGTTGGTAATGAAGACTGGTGATTTATCTATTGTATATTTCTTTTTTTTTTTAAAAAAAAAAAACCTTAGATTTTACAGATATCTCTATAGGAATAAAGAAAGGTAACATGTGATGGCATTAATATCACCAACAAGAAAATCTTAGCCCCACAATGCTTTCTTACAAATGAATCTTCTTGGTTCAACTAATTTAACCATGGAGTGATCCAAATTAACTGAAATTAAACATCAAAATAACCTCTATTCTTATATGAGGGGGAAAACGACTTTTTTCAGTTTCTTTTAACCGCGGGAGGACGGGTGTGACTTGACATTATAGTTCTCAAATGGAAACAAGGAAAGAGAGAGAGAGTATGATAGCATTTTTCTAATCAAAAAACGTCTTGTAATTTAATATGAACATCTAAGAAATAGACAATTAAATGATCGTTTTTGGAGCAATTGAAAGTATGGCAAGTATTATAGAGATCCCAAAATTATGGAAACGTTCTATGTGTATGCTACTTCATAATTGATCTTTATATATTTAGGTTATCTTGACTTAATTTCACTTGTTCTCCGAGTGGAAATAAATAATTTTCTTTTTTTTCTTCTTTTACAAGCGAAAAAGAATGGTGTATAGTTTTCATGTTGACGACCTAGCTCTTGTCTTTCACCTTTTTTTTTTGTATTCTCTTCCTTGCAATTCCGTGTTATTAACTCAAAGTAACAAGGGGTTATCAGTTTGCTTAATGACCATTTTCACTATCTTTAAATAGAATTCATCACTCGAATTTTGAAAAAACTAACAATCCATTTCTTATATTGTTATTAGTCAAATTAGATGATTATTTCTAAGGAGTATTTCTCTCTTTTAACCGATCCACTAACTTGGGTTCTTAATTTTATGATTAATCTCTATCTTATACATATATATATATATAAGAAAACTTTCATTTTTTAGTGTAACAGTAGATTTATTTCCAGAAATTAATTTACTTAATTTGGAAAACATAAAACGGCAAAACAGCTAGGTTGTTGGTTGTCTGCCGTTAGTTATCAGTAATGGGTCCCGTACACCAACAGGAAACCCACAACAAAGTTAATGTAATAGTTTCCTATTTCCCAAAATACCCCTATATCCGTTATTCTTGTCTTCTTCATTTCCCAAAGTTGGTAGTTTCCTTTGGGTAAGATCTGCCTCTCTCTCCCCCCCCCCTCCCCCCAACAGAGGCGTGGTCTCAGGTTCCTTTGATGTTTTTTTTCTTTTGGCATCTTGGTATAGGGAAAGAGAAAGTTCAATACTTGTAGAGAGATCTGCCATATTTCTTTCACTTACAGGTATCTCTCTATCTTTTGTCATCAATTTTGCTACAAATTTGACAGAAAATGTGGTAATTTCTGATTCTCTTTATGGTTTAAGTTTTTAAGTTTTTATAAATTGGAAGGTTTGAACTGGGTTTTACATTGTCTCTGAAGATATTGCATTTTCGACATCTGGGTACTGCCACATTAGTTGTTTCAATAACGAGGTAGAACATTACTGGAAACATCCTGTCTTTTTCTCTGAGTAATTGATTTATGCATTTGCCATGTAATTATTAGACCCCTACGTTGTCTCGTATTATTTGATTGTTAATGGAGTTTACTTTTTCTACTATCAATTTGTTAAATTTGAACTGTTTCATGTTTGTTGGGAGGTCTTGTAATTTCAATAACTGGGTATTGTACTTACTTTGGTTATGAGAAGAATGTGATAGTTGGTGTAAAGTCCTCTTGAAGTTTATTTTTGTACAAAATGACAAGAAATGGAATGAATGACGTCACTGTAGATCTATATTCAAATTTGTAAATATTCTGTAAAAAATTTAATATTATAAGGGTTTAGTAACCTGCTATGTTTGATCTTAGAAACATCTCAATTTAGAGGTAATTACCAGTTATTTCTCTTCTTATTATTTAATTCTTGCTTTGATAGCACATTTATTGTATTGAATATATAATATTTCATATATGCAAAGAAGATCAATTATTTCACATTTGTGCTTGTATTGCCACGCTTTGCCTTTCGTTTTCTCAAAATTAATTAATTAGGAAATGGGGAAGAAAGGGAATTGGTTCTCTGCAGTGAAGAAAGCTCTGAGCCCTGATTCCAAGGAGAAGAAAGATAAGGTTTGGATGATTTACATTCTCATTATTTGTTTTGCTGTGTGGTTTCGGATGGAATTTATTGAACATTGTGCAATTCTCTTAGCAGAAAACCCGTAAATCAAAAAGATGGTTTGGGAAACACAAGAGTTTGGATCTAGATTCTTCAACTGCAGACACTGCATTAGCTGTTCCCACCTCTCTTTCTCCTCCTGTAGAGGAGGTGAAGTTGACGGAAGCTGAGAACGAGCAAAGCAACCATGCTTATTCTGTTGCTTTCGCTACTGCCGTGGCTGCAGAGGCAGCAGTCGCAGCAGCTCAGGCTGCTGCAGAGGTTGTTCGCTTGACAACAGCAGCCCGCTACTCGGGTAAATCGAAGGAAGAAATTGCTGCTATAAAGATTCAGACTGCTTTTCGTGGATACTTGGTACGAATTACTCGCATGTTGAGAACACTTTCCTATAACATTACAAGACATGGAAGTAATACTTTGAAAATTTCGTTCTCTTGGGTGAACCTGGAAACTTTGTTAATTTTTTCTTTTTTTCAATATTGATGTTATGGATTAAAAACATATGTACTTGCTATGTTTTAGAGAACACATGAAGGATTATTGCATATTATACTTATGGGGTTGTAAATCCTTTTTTTTCTGTATGATAGGACTCCAACGTTGGAATGGCAGGTTCTTGAAAGCTTTTGAAAATTTAATTGTTCTTTATCTTTTTCGTTTTTAACTTAACCTAGTTCCTTGAACAGTCAAATAATTTTTTGTTTACGCAATAAGCTGTGCTTTTGTTTCATATGCATTTGTTGCCTGCTTTTACTCTCATCTTTTACCACTAATATGAAAATTGAACTTCCATAATTTGTTAAGTTGTCTATAGCAGATAGAATAGATGTTTTGTTCACTTCTGGAAAGCAGTAAATACTGAAATATATCCATCACCTTTCTGTAATAAGATACTTATGACATTTAGACATATATAGGATTTGATTTCTTTCCTCTGAATTCATGTCACTCAGGCAAGGCGAGCATTGCGGGCTTTGAGAGGGCTGGTGAGGTTGAAAGCTCTGATACAAGGGCAATCTGTCAAACGCCAAGCGACTACCACCCTACGATGCATGCAGACTCTGGCTCGTGTGCAGTCTCAGATTCGTGCAAGGAGGATTAGAATGTCGGAAGAGAACCAGGCGCTTCAGAGACAGCTCCAACAGAAATGTGAGAAAGAGCTTGAGAAGTTGAGAGTCTCTGTAAGTGCTTTTTTGTTTAACCCCTTTTATCGACTTTGAAAGAGGGGGAGGGGGGGGTTGTATGTGTGTGTTTTGTATGGATGTGTGGGTGGAAAAGGTTCTCAATTTGTTTGTGAAGCTCTAGAGAAGTTTATTCAGGTTCCTATTTAAATTTGTTTGAATTGAATTTGGCTAAAGTTGAGAACTAGATTTTGCACAACAGAGAGTAGCTATATTTTTCACATTCCCCCCATGAGAATTACTGGAATAACTGATTTTTGTGTTTTTAGGGAAAATGCCTTTTTCCCTGTCTATGATAGCTAATTGGTTATTTTATTAACTCAAATAATTTTTCATTTATTTAAGATTATGCCGTGATTTCATGAACTTCTCTGCTTCATTTCTCTCTTTCTATTTAGATTGCAGGAAAGAAATCTCTCTTTAACAAAGATTCCTTGCATTAGACTATGGTCATCATTTCCTGCAAAAGCTCTCCCTCTATCTCTTGTGTCTTGATCCTTAGTTCTCTGAACTAGGACTGTATGTCAAATTGAAAGCTTCTTGTATTAGGCTTGTCGTATCTTTTTATTTTCAGTGAAAAAGAACCTTCTTTTCCTCTTGTTGTGGACTACACACTCGAAATAAAGCACACATACATTCACATAGTAAATTAGAATTTATCTTTTTCTAATTATTTTAGTAAATGGAGCACTGGTATTTAGGGCTTATATGTTGTATAATCTAACAACAGATGGGAGAAGAGTGGAATGCTAGTATGCAATCTAAGGAGAAAATTGAAGCAAGCCTACAGAGCAAGCAGGAGGCTGCTATGAGAAGGGAGAGGGCATTGGCTTATGCATATTCCCACCAGGTACTTGACTGTAGTTAGCCTCCATTTGATTGTGTTTTTCGTATTACTAGATAAGCTGGAATTTTTTTAATGCTTTGAATTAGTAATCTACTCTGTGGCTTTGTGATAAGGAGGCCTATTCTGTTTTCTCTTGATGCTATCTGCCTTAACTACCCTAGTTTCACAGTCTCTTCCTGATATCAATGAAGAAGACTTTATCGACTTTACGTGTTATTGAAATGAAGCCTCTAAGCGCCATGCTTGTGTGTTTGTGTAACCACTAGCATTTTAATGAGTTAATCTACTCTTCAATGTTGTAACACTGGACATTATTTAGGACTTTCACCACAGGTTTTAACTTTAAATGTGTTTCTGCCAGTTACATGGGAAGTACTCCATTTTACGCCACCAAATTTTCTGGACAAATGCATTGAACAAATAAAGAAATTTTCATGCATGGGATCTCTGAGCAATGCTTCCATTCATCTGATATCTTACTTTTTCGGCAGAATTACATGTATGAGAACTGGATGAATTTTATCAGTCGTTTCCTGTATCTTCATTTACCAATAATAAAAAAAACATTTGTCAAGTAAATAGATAGGACTCCATTTACTTATTTTCTTCAACGAAAAATAGTTGCTGATGTCAAGTATTCTTTTTCTATATCTTGAGTTGGAATAATTTCTGAAAGTGACATGGACATATAAATTTATAACAGCAGATGAAGAACTCTTCAAAATCTGCAAACCCAACATTCATGGATCCAAACAATCCCCACTGGGGATGGAGCTGGTTAGAGCGATGGATGGCAGCCCGGCCATGGGAAAGCAGAAGCACAATTGACAGAGACCTTAACAGTGACCGTGCCTCTGTAAAGAGCACTATAAGCCGTGCTATTTCAGTGGGGGGAATCAGTAGAGCATATTCTCGTCGTGATTCCAACCTTGACAATATGCCTTCTCCACGTGCTCAAAAATTAAGCCGCCCTCCCAGCCATCTATCGCCTTCTACCCCTCCCTCCAGGGCACCAAGCTCATCATCAATAGCTGGGAAAATGAGGCCACCAAGCTCAAGGGGCAGCGGTTGTGGCGCTGATGATGATTCAAGGAGCATGCTCAGTGTGCAGTCAGAGCGGTACAGGAGGCATAGCATTGCAGGGTCGTCAGTGAGAGACGATGAGAGCCTTGCAAGCTCGCCTGCAGTTCCAAGTTACATGGCACCAACACAGTCCGCCAAAGCCAGGTCCCGGTTGCCAAGCCCGTTGGGAGTAGAGAAGAATGGGACACCAGAGAAGGGATCGACGAGTTCTGCAAAGAAACGACTCTCGTTCACAGCTTCCCCGGGTGGCCAAAGGAGGCATTCTGGTCCCCCCAAGGTGGATACTAGCATCATTAAGGACATTACTCTGCACTCAGTAACAGCAAATTAAAAGAGGAGAAGACACACTGCATGTGACAAGAGACGAAATACGAGTAGCTATGCAAATGAAAAGCAGTGAATAAATGAAGGGTTAGATTGTTTTATCATTCTACTTCATAAACTGCTCCTCCTAGAGGTGCCAATGGGGCAGGGTGGTTTAAGGAGTGTTACTTTGATGTTTTTATTCTTCTTCTTCAACGGCTTAATTTCTTAGAAATGTTAGGTGTTCGCTTGGGGCTAATTTACTCTATGGAAACATTTCTAATCAGTTGTTTTGTAATGGTCTTCTTGTTGGAATTTCTCTGTTTTTCTGTCTATTTTTCTCCTTTCTTGTGCATTTGTTGGGTTCTTTAGATTGTAATGCTTGAATTCATATAAGATTCCATTCTGTTGTGTTGTTGTATACAAGATTTTGTTTCAGATTCCCTTTGTTTCTTGTATACTGTATACTTCTTAAATTAGACTGTTATGCATCCATGAGGGGGTGTCTCACTGAATTTTTGTTCATGCTCTTTCCCTTTCTCTGACAATGGTCCCATTCTTATTGAGGGCTAATTTAGAAGATGAATTCAATTTTCGCAGGACATCCCAACCGCCCATATGGAGTACCCCGGTGTACTGAGTTCGTTGCTTGTGTCTGGTCACTGTGCAGCATGGTGTTATAACAATCGTGTTACTGTGTTTGTATCACTCCTCCTAATTGATTTTGTACCTCAGTGTAGCTTGGAGTTGTTGGACCAAAACAGTTTCACAAAACAATTTCTTAAATGTAAAAATTAAATTTTTGGTCGATTTTGATCCTAAATTAAAGTGGGACTTATTCGTTGTTTTGAGTAAACTTTCGTGAGTTCGTATTTTACTCTGTGAGAAGAATAATATAATATATTTACTTGCTTAAATCAATTAAGAAATGATTGAGAAAATAGGTTCTAAAATGACCCTTTTGAAATGTGGAAATAAATTTTATACAATATGAGATTTAATATCAATTCCACATTGGTTGAAGAATAAGTTTTACATGGGCATCAATAGGCAAAATTTGCTCTATGGGATTGAGTTCCAAGGGGTACCACAATTTTATGAGCGAAGTGAGCGCCTACATACCTTTGGTTCAACCACACGTGCTTTGGTTTTGCCACACACGCGTGCGACTCCTTGCAGGATCGGGCTTGGGTGCGGGTATGGTTGAGACCAAGTCTTATTTTTTTGAAGAAAATTATTTGGACGTGAATTTTTTAACCCGAAATTTAATTTTCGGTATCCGTTGGATTTGAATTCACACTGGTTCGGAATTTTTACTTCCCTCTAGTCTGAAATTTGAGTTATGTCTGTTTATATAGAATAGTTACACAAGTGGTGTCGGTTGCATCCGTTCACATTTTGATTGTCCGGATAAGTCGCCATTCTCTCAATAAATAACTCAGTCCCATAATTATTTTGAATCAAATTCATCCAATATATTATTAGTCATTTAAGACAGTCTCATACATTTTTAAGATAGTCTACATTTGAAGAATATACAACACAATTTTAGTTCGCTGGACGGGTAGATTGAAATGTTATTTCTACTTGTGTGAAGATCATTGCATCATGGGAGACAGAAACTATATATTCTATAAGTATCGTGTGTGGGGGCAAAATCTGTCTTAAGGACATAGTGTCAAACACTAGTTTTGATCTACATAAAGTTCAATAACAATTCTTGTTCTGCAATCGGATTAATATTTATATTAGTTTAACAAACAGTTAAGTGTAACTGTTTCGATAAGACTGTTGTAATTGTTTCGTTAATTCTTTTATAACTATTTTTATTTTATGTATAACTGTTTCACACATGATTGTTACTATTTTGTTATACATTACATATTTTAAATCAAAAATTTTAATATCTGATTTTATTATATTTGAAATACTACAAACAACAAGGGTCTTGTATACTACAATGCTCTTTTTAATTGATAGGTGATGATGCACAAAATTATCTTGTGCAGGATCAACAGTTAAGAAGGTGAATAGGTACAATCAATGAGCAACAAGCAATCAATGGCAAAAATAGTAAATAAGAACTCAAAGATTTATAGTGGTTCGGTCTCAGATGACCTACTCCACTTTTGGGAATGACAGTGGTGGCTGGTGTTCTTTATTGATAAGTGATGGTACTCCGGAGAGTTACAGTATTTTGAGGGAGAATAAGAGAGAGCAGTGTGTATAAGAATGAGTGTAGAGGTCTTGGAGGCCTTGCCCTCAATGTTGAGAGGGCTTACATTATATAATTAGGGTAAGGTAATAGGGGCGGTGACGTGAGGGAGAAGAATTCTATTGTTTTGACAAGTATTGTTATGGTAGGAGATCTTCTATGTCAATCTCCATATTATATTCCCTCGTGCTCCTATTCATCCGGAGGAGAACATAAGTTGGATTGAGTTTGACCCTCGTCTTGGACTTGAACTTGTTTTGAGTAGGCTTGACTTGGACTCGGATTGGAGTAACAAGAGAAAGCGGAGGTCGAAAGAGAGGAGAGAGCCAGCATGGGCGGCGCCCCCTTTGGGGATCCTTGGGCGTTGGCCCCTTGACTCCCTTAGGCATTGTCCTCTTGATGTCCCTTTGGTGCTTTGGACTCCATTCAGATGGGTCAACCCAAGTTAAGTTGGACTCTTCTTTGGACTTTCTTGATTTATTTTTATCGGGTCCGACCCAGTCAAGTTCGGACTGATCAATAGGGACGGGTTTCACACCTCGATTGACTGACCAGGTGATAGACCTTTTTTGAGGACCACACGGGGTATTGTCAGCCAGTGTATAGCTGCAACATAGGAGTGATACTGTGAAACTGTTACTCGAATTCTAACATGAAAACCATTTATCTTAAGACCATCAGCATCGTAAATGCTTTTGAAGGCAGAAGTAGATTAACTTTCTGTAAATGGTATTAGGCATGTTATATGGTAATTTTAAACACAAAATTAGACAGAACCCGTAACGGAAATACTGTTTTTTTTTTCCGTCTTTTTTTTTTTTGGTTTTTTCACAAACTAAAAAGTAAAAAACAGCATTTGTTAGCCAAAAAAGGGGGCTTTTATTATTTTCTTGTGGATTTCAAACGTGACAAAGGTTCAAATAAGTATCATGTGTTTGAGTCCCTCTCATTTCATGTGCAGCAGCTGGGGTAAAATTGTGAAACTAAAAGTATTACAAGTAGTAGAGTGGGACCATGTAATAGAGTTTTCGAGTTTACTTTTATGAGAGTGATTCTGAACTTAAAGAACAAGTCACAAGGCCCAATATTTCAAGAAAGTTCATCAAATTGGTCACCATCAATTAGTAGTCCATTATTTGATTTGTCATATAGGGTAAAAAATGGGTTGATAAGTACCAAGAATGTAAAATTATCGGGGTCGAGGCTTGGTACAATGGTAAAGTCATTAAATTGTGATTCAAGGATAATGAATCAAATTGAATGACGATGAAAATTTTGAATAGCATAAAGTTCATGTATATTTAGATTGTCCCTCTTGCATACTCTCAAGTAGAATTGGATACTTTGCTTAGAGGTCACTGTACTTTCAAACCACCAAAAAGCCAGTATTTCCAACTTTGCTTTTCAAATTCCATGTGATTTGAGAAACAAAGGACCCAACCAATGAAACAACCTTGGGAAACAAAAAAAATTACTCATGTTATGTTTTGGTCGGTGAAAAATTGGAGCTAAGGTACCGAAAAGTCCGATATGTGTAGCAGGCATGTCATTGGATCTAAGTCCATTTGTGCACTGGATAGTATTGGCCTACATGCCACTAATGTGGTTGTTATCATTGGTACTTGACAAGAATTGGAAATTATATGCGTAGGTTTTTAGGAAAAAAAGTTTTAGGTTCTTACAAAATATATTAAGTTATCATAATTATTAAATTGATGGTAGTTCTCAACTGTCCATAAATATAGTCAACAAATTACATTCAAATAACATTACTCTTATACTATATTAGAACTTAGACAACTCTTAGTCACACGATTGGCCCAAAACATCCCACGCTCTATTGCTCTACGCATAAATTTATGTTTTGGGAGCAAATTCGCCTTAAATCCGCTCTCTCAACTTTTTGAATCTACAAATTTAGTATTACAAAATATGTGAATTCAACTTCACTATTTTGCGACTTCAACAAAACAAATTTGCGAATTCATATTATTAAATTCACAAATTTTATAATTAAATTCTCGTATTGGTTACACATTTTAGTAAAACTAATTTTCAACCCCATATTAAATACCCAAATAAGGTTAGTTATGTCCAAAATGAACTACATTTAAATAATATCTTATTAGAATAAAAAAAATTTTGTAAGAATTGATGTAATACAATATAATTTTCTTGTATTAAATGCTGAAAATAAAAAAATTATCTTTGACACATGGAATCTAATTTGTAATTTTGAGTCTTGATTCCTCAACTTATATTTTGACTCTATAACCTTACAAATAAGGATAAAAAAAATAAAAACTAAAAAAATATTTTAAATATCAATATTTTGGAAACCCTTTTAAATATAAAAGTTTAGGTTAATTACAAATTACACTCCGAACAATCGTTCTAATATCAAATTATATTTCCAAAAATCAAAAATCTCAATTTTCACCCTCAAAGATAGAAATTTGTATCAATGTGCACCCCTAAAGATAAAAAAATCTCAATTTGCACCCTCAAAGATAGAAATTTATATCATTATGCACCTAAAGCTAACTGTCGTCTGTTTACTACCTAAAACTAAATTGATAAATTATACCTAAATCTCTTCATGTTTGCATTTAATCATTTGAACCCCTTTATATTTAAAATATTACTCTTATATCTCATAACGTTTGTGCATATGTAACACGTAACCACCAATGGGCCTTTGGTCCAATGGTACTCCTTACTTTGTGAAGGATTTACCTTCTTGAGGTCAAGGGTTCAAGTTCCCTTCCCCTTTTCCCCCTCCCCTCCCCAACAAAAAAAAATGAAAAAAAAATGTGTAACACGTAACCCCTTTTCGTTAATATCTGTTAGTATAACAGTTAAAAAAATATGATTTTATTCTAATAAATTGATAAATTAAACCTAAACACCTTCATGCTTGTCACTTAATCACCTAGACCCCTCAAATTTAAAATATTACACCTACATCCATTGAGAATCCAACTATGACTAAAAATGTCCCTCCAATTGGGCATTCAAATAATTATGTTTAAGTGATATATTGCATTGGATATAAAAAAATATTATATAAATATCTACATTCTATTGGATATTCAAATGGTAAACTTGATTTTGAATTTTAGAGTATATCGGACCCACAAAATAAAAGATAATATAAAATTATAATTTTTTATTAGGATAAAATCATATTTTTTAATGGTTATATTAACAAATATCAACGAAAAAGGATTATGTGTTATATGTGTACAAACGTCATGAGATCTAAGAGTAATATTCTAAATGTGAAGGGGTTCAGATGATTAAGTAACAAACAAGAGGAGATCTAAGTATAATTTGTCAACTTAGTTTTAGGTAGTAAATTGACGGTGGTTAGTTTTAGGTGTACATTGATACAAATTTTTATCTTTGAGGATGAAAATTAAGATTTTTGATCTTTAGAGGTGCGCATTGATACAAATTTCTATATTTGAGGGTATAAATTGAAATTTTTTTATGTTTGGGGGTACAAATTAAGATTCGAACAATCTTTCGGGATCCAATTTACAATTAACCCAAAAAGTTTTCGTAATTTCACTGTCTTTCATCTTCAAGGAAGTGCCACAGGTTCTCTATAAATACATATTAGTCTCACAAACTCTATGTCTCTATCTCTTAATTTTAATATCAGTAGTATATAAATTTATAAAAAATTTCTATTGTTTAAAAATTGACTTCTACATTACTATTGTATTGGTAAAATATTTTTTCTAATATTTCATTTCATTTTTTATGATAAAAATGAGTAAATTAATGACATAAAAAGGTAGATACTATTTCATCGGACAATTCACATGATTAAAAGTATCAATGGATGAATCATTTATGCATATTGTTTACACAAAAAATATCAAAATATAAGAATAACATGTGACAAAGATCCAATAGTCAAGAAAAAGTCAGACAAAATATACAAAAAAAAAGGGTTGAGAGAATATAACTCCATGAATCAAGGAAAATGAGGAGACGTGATATCATAAGCCGTCAATTAAGGATAGTTCAATGCACGTTTGAGCGTATCGTGGAAAAAGACCATGATTGTAATCATGGATAGAAAAGATGACTTCGACGGTTGAAGGTCATCCCCTATAAATACCAATATAGAAGCTACAGAGAAAGATCCCTCGATCAACACACAACAGCACACATAGAGCTAGTCTATCCTATAGTCAGTTTATTTTATAAATTTTCTTTACTTTGTAAACCGTCACTCCGGTAATTTTTTTTTATGATTAATGCAAAGTACAGTAACTTGCACAATTCCATTTGTCATTAACTTTTCCCATCGTTAATCCCAATTTTCTTCCTAGTTCATAATTATTTAAGTCATTAATTCCCAATGCAGAGAAAAGAATTTAGAAGTAATTTTACGTTTGTTACAATCGTCTGAACAGTTACAATTTTAGTCGAGTCGAACAGATAAAGTTGTAAGTGTTTGAATTTTAAATTAAATCAAACTTTAGTACGCCCGCAATTCAAAAATATGCCAAACAATGGCATTCTCAAAAGTTTTTCTGCTCTAAAGAATTTTTTGTTCTCTGGCAATTTCGTTCCCACTTATTGTAAGCCCATCAATATGAATTTAAACAATAAAAAACAATTACTTTGTAATTGCAGGGCAGCACCTTATAGGATTATTGACTATAAAAAACATTGTCACTTCAAGTTAATAAAACATGTCGGAATAAGATTAGTCGTTGGACGTTTCACCTATTGTAAGTGCATATACAATGTTCACATGCAACATTTTCTAGCAACAATTATTCCAACGAATATTTAAGCAAATCAAAGTTGAAATCTAACATGTCATGTCATAAACGAAATGATACAATTCATGCAATTTATCGGAGCCCTTCCCGGCTCCACAACACATGCAATGCCAATGTGTATAAATCGAGTTTTTCTAGCTCCGGAAATTTACCTTTACACCATGCTATGCAGTGAGTATCAAAATCGGGCTTTTCAAGCCCCCGCCATTTGTGTTACACACCCAATAACTAGTTAAAATCTCCGGATCTTTCTTGGGGTGGGTATTTATAGACTTACACCAATGATCACTCAACTGACATGGAATTCATAGACTTCTACCAACGGTTTCGCGTACACTGACACACTTTATAGGCTCTTGTACCAATAGAAGTGTGTATCCAAAACACCGGGTCTCTCACCCGAGGGATAGTCTAGTCTTTCTTGCTAACCCCGACCCAATTATTTTTCATGCAACTGTGCAACTCAACTGAATATTTAATCCAACTTTCCCGAGCCCACTCGCCAACCACCTATTTGGTGTTTGATATCTACCATGCACACACACACACACCCACACTCATGATTATGAATATATTTCCCCTGTGCAAATGCAATATAATGCACCATTGTCTAATCCATGTAATGCCCATATGTATAGAATGCCACATGAGCAAATTATCTACATTCAAACAAGTTAATTAGATGTGATTTGGTCAATTGGGATGGATGATGGATACAAATGATTGTATAATAGATGATGTTATTGAAGACTTTGATTAACCTTGCCTTGCTTCAGCTATCCTTAATGATCACTACATGACTATTAGATGCTTTTAACCTGACCAACAGCCGGCCCAATAGTTTTTGAGGCCTTACATGGAGCCCTTAAACCACTGTTTTGAAATTTCATTTTTTTATTTTAATTTTTTTTATGTCTAAGTTCATATTTTTTAGTACGCATATTTAAAGTGAAAAATTACTTGCAAAAAAAAAATACCCTATATAAGTAATTATAGTAAGATCAAAATTAACTAAAATACAAAGGACTATAAAAAAACTACTTTAGTAGTTCAGTCTAATAAAAAACTATAAAAGCTTGAATTTTGCATGATCTTCTCCGTGGATCTAACAAAAAATGAAGATCCACAACCCTACTATTCCGGGCCATGGGACCTAATCCAATGTTTTGCTTCCTTCTTTTTTGGGTGTGGGAGAGAGAAATAGATTAACCGGCAAACAAGTCCCCCACTACCACTGCCACCCACAAAACCCTCCCCCCCTCCCCCCCAATACACCCCACCACAACATGTCACCACATTCAGCACCTATCTATTACTGTCACCAACAAAGGAAAAAAAAACTTGTTTTTTTGGTGAATAATTTCAATTGTAATATCTGTGATAATTTCCATCATTTGCTTCCAATTCTTGGAGATCTTATGCTAGGTTTCATTTGATCGAGATAGATATATTCAAATTGGGTGGATTATTTTTTTTTTTGAGAGAGTTCACTTTGTCTATTAAGCTGGAGATTGTGGTGTCATGGTGGCGGGGTGTTAGTGGTGAGGGGGTTCCGTAAGGGGTGCTAGGGTGGTACCATGCAATAGTGGTGTGCAATTGTGATGGTAATATGTCTGAAAGGAAAAAAGAGAGAGAACTGTGTGTTAGATTGTTCGAGAAAAGAAAAGTAAGATTGTAGTTACGTTTGGTGGAAGAGTGTTGGGGTGGTAATGTGTAGCAAAGCGGTGCTAAGTGTGGTGGGGTTTAGGATTAGATTTTGATTAGGGAAATGAAAAAAAAAGAAGATGAAGATTAAAGAAGGAAAAGAATGTTGAGTTTGAGATTTCGATTTTTGTTTACTATCTAAGATATCCTTTCTAATCAAACGTGATAATCATGTATGTCCATTTCATCCAAATTTGACCGAATTGGAAGGAATTTGCAAATTTATTCGACATTAAGAAATTTGAGGGCTCCATTGAGAAATTTATGTTCAAAGTTGAATTGTAATAATAATATAGATGGGCCAACTTTGTGGATTCGGTAGAACGGAAAAAAAATCCATGACCCAATCCTCCCGGGCCATGAATCCTAACAGGATGGGCTTGACTGACATGTGGGAAATGGGCCGAAGGGCTTCCAGTCTCCAGCGGATTCGGTCGAATGGAAAAAATCCATGACCCAATTCTCCCCCGTCAAGGATCTTAACAAGATGGGCCTAATCGGGACATGACCAATGGGCCGTCGGGCCCTCGGTTCCCCACCCATGGACTACGGGCCTTTATCTCCATTTACTCACTGGTTTCCAAAACAATTCCCAAACTAACAAAATGTACCGCGCCAAAATCCAAGTCTTGTTTGTTACATTCCCCCACAATAGTCCGAGTCCTCTCTCTCACATGCTTTCCTTGTTGCCAGACTCAATCGGAGGCAGAGTAGGAGTGTGTAGGTCAATCAAAATGGAGGTTGGTGGATTGGACTCCGACGGCCGTGAATTCAAGACCGCCGACGAGATGTGGAAAGAAGAGGTCGGAGATCATCAGAAGAAGACCGAATGGTACTCTAAAGGTGTTAACTATTGGGAAGTAAGGACCCTTTTTGCACCCCTCAATAAACCCCTTCTCTTTGTTCTTTCATTTCTCATACATGTGTGTGTGTGTGTGTGTGTGTGTGTGTGTCTTTGTTGATTGTTTTTGTATTTTTGGAAGTGAAGGGTGTGGAGGCGACAATGGATGGGGTGTTGGGTGGGTATGCGCAGGTGAATGAGCCTGATATTAAGGCCAGTGAAGCTTTTCTCAATACCCTTTTGGCTGAACGATTCCCCGATGCCGGTATTACTCGGCATCTCGTGGCTCTTGGTATTCTCTCTCTCTCTCCAACACACACATAGCGTTACCCAAATATTTGTTTGTTTTGCATTAGTTTATACTCTATTACTAATAGAAAGAGAATACATCCACTAATTAGCTGCATTGTGGTTTGCGAGCTGAAAATTATATTTTTCTCTCTCTTTTTGTTTTGTTTTTTATGGGCACATAGTGTATATAATGTGTTTGATTGGTTGTTTTAGCTTTTTTGCTTGCAAAATGTTACCCAAGAGACTACCAAATGCCCCGCATGGTGGCCATTTTAGAATTCTGCTAGATTTCCTTGTGAAAAAACTTCGACTACATTGAGCTCGTTGTAAATGCTTTACTTGCACTGCTTTGACCTATCCCTATTCATAGCATGGCCACTGAAGATTAATCAAAAAGACGGATGGGAAATATGTAAATCGTTCTGTAAAGTTCAGTCTACTTGTGGGATAATGAATGTAATATGCACATATTTAATGTCCTAATTGAAAAAAAAAAGTGCACTTATTTAATGTCTCTATACATGTTACCGGTCCATTAATGAACCAATCTCAATCACAATGGAATTCTTGAAGGTGTTCATATGCTGTGGGAGATTTGCCTACTCAACAATTAACGTCAAATTCCATTCTAATATTCTTTCTTTCCAATTCGAGATAAAGTTATTCAACCTGTTCAGTGAATGTGAAATTTGAGAGTTGAAATGTGGATGTATTGACAATGAAAATTCTTCATGCTGCAGATTGTGGTTCTGGCATTGGGAGGGTCACCAAGAATCTTCTCATAAGATATTTTAATGAGGTTAGGCTAGTCGTTTCTTTCTTTTTCTAATGGTATCCCTCAAAGTTGGTATACAATTAATTCCTTTAATCTTTCTTTTTTCTTTTTTTTTTTTGAGATATTTCTGATTAACTGTGTATGTTTTCTTTTACGTTTATCTAATAACTTAAAGCTAACTTTGAGAACTTACTGCCATAATGTAAGATGCATTTCTACCTTTGTATAATTCGACAGGTTGTTGAAACTTGAAATGCTTGGTGGGCCCTTCTTTTAGGAATGAGAAATGACTATATATATATATTTTTGCTTGGTTAAAGATGTTAAAGGCATGAACAGATGTTGCTGATATAGTTCTTGGCTCTAAAATTAAGGTGGATATAGTGTTATTAAATCTTCGTATAATACGAGCTATTAATGAGTGTGTAGAACCTTTTCCACTGGGATATATGCAATGTCCATGAGTGGAAGGTTAACTTCAATTTTTAGGAATGACAAATAGTTCAACTCTGCTGCATGTCCAGTAATGGATTGCCTACCGGTTGCAGTAGCTCAAGTTCGTCTAGGTTAAGAATATCCTTTAGAAATATTTGAAGAACGACTGTTGAAGCACAAATTTGTATTTTACAATTCTGAAAGCTCAAGTGGTTAGGGAGATGCATTGTTTTGGGGATTTGTTTACTCCATCCAGGATTCGTTGTTACTGTTTTTGTGAGATGTTAACTGATATTATTTAATATCCAATCCTTTTGAGTTCTGGCCAAAGCAAGTACTTACCCTGAAATGGGGACGGCATAGTAGGTTTGTCAATCGTGTCACGTTAAATGTGTTTATGTCGTGTCTAAGCGGGTTCGTATAAAAAATTACTCAACCCATACACAGTCGTTTATTACACGGGTTCAAATCTAAAACACGTACATGACTCGTTTATTTAAACAGGTTGTACGACACGACCCATTTCACCCACAAAATTAAACAGATCATTTAGAGTCATTTTGGGTTAACTCAACGAATCTTTCACCCACCACAATTACACCCGTTTGTCATGACAACACCATGGTTTGGCAGAACATGAACATACATCAATTTAAAAAGTAAAAAGGCAAAAAACATGCAAAAAAATAAAAGCAAAATTTGGACATCCGACATTTAATGAATTCCAAGATTCTACCAACAACATAAAAAATACATGGCTGATTCTGACCTTAAACAACTCCATTAATTACAAAGCAAATGTCTCACACAAGCAAATGCCTCCTATTCACAGGCAACAGTCAAAGAGGAAGAGATGAGAAGATTGGTGAATTGAATTGGCAAATGAATTCAATGATGAATCTGAACGGTGACAGACATTGTGGAGAAGAGACAAAAAGAGAGTGTCAACTGCTCGAAGGTGGCCTAAGTATTGGTCTGAAATGAAAGAGATGAGAGGGAGAGTGAAAAGCCACAAGGAATAGAAATTGGGGTTATTTGAATGGGCTTATTTTTTTTTTTCCTGGGCTTTTAAATACTTATTTTTAAACGAGTTTATGGGTAAGAAACAGGCAAAAGTACTTCACCCGAACATGACTTGTTTACTACGTAGATCTGCTACGTCCCCTGTTTATCACTTGAACCAGTTAAGATCATACTCAAACCTGTTAATTTTGTGATGATTCGTGTCAGATAATCGGGTTATGTCTAATTTTGCCAGCCATACTGCAAAGACATGTTGCTCCACAATTGTCACTAAGGGTTAATGGATGGCTCTTTCCGTTGGACTTGTATGCAATTCAACTTACTTTTTTTTTTTTTATCTCCACTTGGGTCTCACTTAATATGGTTTGTTTGCTTCCAGGTTGACCTTCTTGAGCCCGTATCACATTTTTTGGAGGCTGCTCGGGAAAATTTGGCTCCTGAAAATTTAGTGGTCTCTGACTCGCACAAGGCTGCTAATTTTTACTGCATCCCACTTCAGGTAAGCCCCTCACAACCCACCCCCCCCCCCCAAAAAAAAAAAAAATGGATAAATTAAAAGGAACACGGGAGTATTTATGGGTTGAAGTGTCCCTAGTTTAATACATCATGCATATGGGAAATTATTTTTTCTTTGTTTTGTTTTGTGTGGAGTGTGCCACAATCATTTTTATGTTTATCTGCATCAATTAGTCAATAATGTTCTCCCAATTATCTCTAACTATATGAAACCCTGCATAAACGTGCAAAATTTGAGCATATGATGCATAATTCAGGATTTTTCCCTTCCAGTCGTTGCCAAATTTGGTCCTTGGTTTACTGAAGTACTCTTTTAGCACACGTGATAAGCCAATAAGAACTTTCTATGGACACTATCTAGTTAGCCTTCAGGTCCACTTCTATTTTTTTGGTGGGAATTTTTGTGGTACTGAATCATCTCTATTTTCAATATGGGATATGTCTCTATCTGCAATAGTTTCCATGGTTTGTTATTTGTCGTATCTAATTTGCTTCTATTTGTAGGTATAATATCAATTTGGACAGAGGGATTGGAATGCTTTCCACTCTCTGAAAATTAGATTAGGTTTCTGTTTCCTCTAAAAGCGGTCTTCAGGTTGTGGCTAGAAGTTGTGGGATTCAAGCTTGAATTTTCAAATTAAGATGCTGATTTGCTGAATATCAGCAACAGAAATTTTGAGCTTTAGTAGTTTCTCAACAAATAGAAATAATCCTCTGAAGTTAGTATCGAGATATAGAACCAAGGTAAAAGAATTTACATAGGCGATTTTGTGAAATGCCTTTAAAAGAAAAGATTCTCCAACCCTATGATCGTGTCTGTCCCCATTCTATAATTTCAGCTGCAGGTATACATGCTATAGTGATCAAGTTACTATAAACTGCTGATGCTGGGATCCTGCAACCCTTAATAATCCATTTAATTGTGGTTACTGGTCTTCCCCCTTTATTTAGTACATTTGATTCTGAAGACCGCTTGAATTCTTGTGTTCTTATTCTCCATGAGCGCAACCTCTTTTTGGCCATTTGTTGTCTAAATGAGTGATCTTTTTCCACTTCTTTTAGGAGTTCACTCCAGATGCAGAAAGATATGATGTTATATGGGTTCAGTGGTGTATTGGGCATCTTGTGGACGATGACTTTGTGTCATTCTTCAAGAGAGCAAAGGTGAATTGATTATCCTGTCAAATCAAAAAAGCAATTTGAGTTGGAGTTTTCTTAGGTAATTGCATGGATTTCTCTCCCCGTGAGAAATCAAACATTTGTTGTATTAGGTTTTAAAAATTTCTGCAATTTTCAGTTGGGAAATCTCAAATATGAAAATCAAGTGAAAAGTGAAATCTTAGTAATGTGTAGGGTTCTTGACCTAATATATTCTCCTACATTTTTGTTTTTTATTTGTTTAAAAAACATCTACTTGCTAATATCGGTTTGAAGAAACCTATATGGAATTGCAAGGTCTTTCATCTAAATGACTGACATGCTGGTGTTGGTTCCTTTATAAATTTGGCAAGAGCTACTGTTGTTAAAATATTGTACTCTCCACCATGTTTGAACTAATGCAATCAACATGAAAGATGTCCCTGTGCCTTTGGACCAGCTTGCCTCGTGCCATAGAGATGATGCACTCCATTAGCATTCAATTCAACAGTTGCCAGCATTTGATGTGTCTTATAGAGTCAGCGTGGGAATGATATGATGCCTTAGCTTTAACATGGAAAAGTTGCATCTTGACAGCCCTTGATTTTCCCTTTATTTCTGGCATTCGTGATTGAAAATTATATTACAGTTTCATGTTCAGCATCAACACCCAAATATGTGTCCACAACTATATTTCATTACAATTTTTGGAGCCCAATGACTGAAAACTTGTAGATCTCTTGGCTATTAAAATTCTACTGTATTGTGCTAACACAATATCCTTGTACAAAGAAGAGATCCTAACTAGCATTTGATGTCTAATATGTCTCTTCCAGGGTGGCCTCAAGCCTGGTGGATTTTTTGTCTTGAAGGAAAACATCGCAAGAACTGGTACAGGTACAATCTTTATGGCTCCGTCTCCCTACCTCTTTAGACATTTGTAAGTTTATATAACATGCATGCCATGTCCACAGGCTTCTCTTCCTATGTATGTTTCACCCATTACATGCATAACCTTAAGTAAAGCTATTTTGCTGGTCACTTGCCTGGTATCTGTTTTGTGCTTACTGGGTGCGATACCCCCAACTATAAATACTTTTGTAGTGCTAGAGTTGGGCACAATGCATATGTTCTACATTGCAATCCATCTTCTTCATGTGATAGGTAGTTATCTCAGCTCTTTTTGTCAATTATTGATTGATGTAGAGATTCTCCAGTCTCTGTGCAATGCCAAGTGGGAAGATATGAGAAGAGGGGAGACCAAAACCAATATGCCATGCTAAACCATTTGTCATAGCAATCCTCAGCAGTGGCTTAACTAAGTTTTACAACATTCCTTGAGAATGATCTGTAGAAAATAATTTGCAGGTTTCTTTGTTAGAGTTGTTACTAAAAGAATGTAATTATGCATCATGAACACATACATTTTATAGTTGCTCAAAATATGGTTTTAGGACATTCCTACTAGTATAATCTGAGTTGTATAAATTAAATCATGACTTGACTGTAAGGCGAAAGTCTTGTACTCAATTTGCAGTTATGCACTATTTATTGTTTAGACATCTATAAAAAAACTAGGCGCCCACAAAATATCTATTGCACATATTTTAGAAACACAAATATGTGTTGTTGTTGTGAATGTGGAACCACACAGTATAGCATAATAAAAAAACTTGTGTAATATACGTGATTCCTTTGCTGTTTCCCTATTTTTTAAACTCTCAGTGGACCCTAAGCTGTGAGTTCGGCATGCGTGTTGATAAGAGCTCAAGCAAGTAGGACTTGCTAAAGGACACTTGGTCTCCTCGTCATGTACATTTCTTTTCTAGAGAACCAGTATAGCCTGTTGATTCTATTCCTGCATTGAGTTGTTTGGCCCAGCTTTTGTTTGAGCCTTATGTTGCTTGTGAAATACTCGTGTGATGATTTTTTTTCTTTGTAATATATACGAGGTTCAACTAGATCAAATGCTATCTGTGTTATTAATTGTGTATTTTTAGGATTTGTGTTGGACAAAGATGATAAAAGCATTACCAGGTCTGATTTATACTACAAGGAACTCTTCCGTCAGTGTGGACTGCATATTTACAAAATGAAGGTAACTGCCAACTTTTCATATGTTACTCTACGTAGAAGCTTTGATAGTCGCTCTACTTTCTGGGCTCTCCACCTTTAGTTAGACAGGAAATGTAATGCTGCATAGAGACCTTGTGCTATTAGCCTCTTAAGAATTGTAACAATGCATGAAAAAACAGGTAGAATTAAATGTGGTGAAAATGAATAAAAAGTTGAAGTTAGTACAAAGTCAAGAATACTGGAAATCAAGTATTTTTGAAGAATAACTTCTATTTATGGTTCTTTTCTTCTTTTTTGAGGCTGTACTTTTTCTTCTTTGGAACTGCAATTAGAGGAAATATTTTCCTAGCAACATCTGTTTCTGTTCAAAACTAGGCAGTGCATCATTTCAAAGGAAATCACTCAAAATGACAGAAAAGCGAATTGTAAACTTATAACTTGTGAAAGAAGCAAAAGGATACTGAACTCTCATGAACATTTATCTCTTAACTGCAACCTGATGCTGATTTTTTTTTTTTTTTACAGTTTTTCAGGGGTTCCACAAACAGTTAACACCTTTTTTTTTTTCTGTTTTGCAAAAAATCGTCTCAAGCATGGAAGTCCAAAAGCCACCAGTAGTAGGATTGATCGTGATGATATGTCTAATAAGTGAAGTAACATATGGGCCTATATGCCTCTACTAGATCATTTGTTTTTTGGAATATCGGTGACTTGATTCTCATAAAGGGTGCTGAGTTTTTGTTGCTCGTGTAGTACAGGTTTCAGACAGGTTTATAAAGGGGCATCCTAAATTTGGAAGAGTCAATTTCAATAACTGTTCACAATTTAAGAATATTTCTATCTGTCGAAGCATGTTTGTTGCTCAATTTAACATGTTCTCATCATAAGTCTAAGAAAGGGCGCACAGAATCCTTTTCTATTTCCCTAAAAAAGCTACCGGCCAACATTCATCCAGGATTTCCGTTAACACGAAGATGTTTATACAAATAGAAAGAACTTGTAGTCTAGTCTTTCAATGTTTAGGATCAATAAATAGGTGCTATTTAATGCCAAATTCCCTTTTATATGATAATTTCTTCATTTAAAATATAAGATTCAGGTCATCATGTAATTACTGAAGCAACTTTTTTCCACCGCATCGCCAACTTCAATACAAATGTGTTATTTAACTTGTGAAGATAGTCCACTAGGATAACATTATCACCACTGCTCTTAGTTCGATATGGCGGAATCTATTGAGATCTAGCCTCCTTTCCTATAAATTTAAATCTTATTGTCTATGGTTATTTTCATAATTTCAATAAAAGTTTCTCTTCCTTTTTTTTTATCTCGTTTTTGTTTTTGGTTCATTTGGATATCAGGTGGCAGTGTACTTGTAACTTTGGTTTCTTTAGTTGTTATTTTTAGGTCATCCATATTCTCTTTTTTCTTCCTCAATACAAAAATAACTTAAGACTTACCAATAACTTAAATTTTAGCAAACCTCTATGATTTAAGACTGCATTAGTCTTATGGTGATCTTGCACTGATCTTACATGCACATCATGCATTTGACATGCAACTCTCCTCCCCGGGAAATGCATTGCCATCTATCATTCTATAAATGTTGTAGGAGACCCAGGTTATTTTGATCATCAAATTGGAAGGCTAGAATCATCGTGACCTCTCCATGGTGGCCCCCAAGTTACCCGTGTACCTGTACACTACTTGAGCCTTCCTTTCTAATAAGATTGTAGTCCTGTCTCTTGAAGCTTGGACTGATGTCATTATGTGTTTCCCTTTCTAAAATTTTGGTTCCTTTCTAATAGTGAATTTGCTATGTATCAGGATCAGAAGGGATTTCCTGGTGAACTATTTCCTGTGAAAATGTATGCGTTAACAACTGAGATGCCAAAGAAGGTTAATGGATCCAGACGTAAGCTGCAAACCAATAGACCTGGCATCATCAAGTGAGGAAATAGCATCTTTGGCTCCCGATAGTTTCAAACAGAGGATTATTTTTCCAAGTTAGAAAGAGTGGAATGTAATGTCTAACATGGAAGCCAGGGACAACATTCTGCTTCTTTGTTTACGGTTTGATGTTTATTAGATCCCATTTTGACTTTTTTTTTTTGTGACTGTTTGATTTTTAATGGTTTGATTTTTATTAGATCCCATTTTGACCTTTTTGCCCTCCTTTCTGCATACTCTGTTTGTACAATATTTAGCTTGTCTGACATTAATACTTGATGAAATTTGAAGACTAAAAAACACCAACCCAATTCACTCTGTTAATCCGTATNCTTGACCCAAGAAACCACTTGCCCAGCCAAGCCCGACCACTTTGTTTGAAAAAAAATTTGACCATTAAAAGTTAGGTAGTATATTTCTCTCAAACAAAAAAGTTATTTACTTAAATACTAAGTTGAGTAATCTAGGGTATTATTCATTATTTATTGAAATACTAAATTATTCATTTCAAATAAAATTTTTGTCATTTATTTTTTATACATTTTGACTCTACTTTTAATTTAAAAATGTAATTTAATAAATTAAAAAAATTTTAAATGAAGATATATATATTAGCTCGCCCAGTAGGCCCGTCCAGTGAGTGAAGGTTTGGGTTGCAGGTAACCTTTNTTGAAAAAATTTTAAATGAAGATATATATATTAGCTCGCCCAGTAGGCCCGTCCAGTGAGTGAAGGTTTGGGTTGCAGGTAACCTCCCATTTTTCGACGTCCGACTCAGCCCGGGCCACCTGATTACTCACTTTAGTAAAGACTAGGGCCTACCCTACCTAGGCCTAACCCGAAAAATTTTTCATAGGCCTAGCCTGGCCCATTGACACCCCTATCATCGATGGACACTTGTTTTGTTCGGCTCTCCTATTTTGGTCCATGACATTTTCATTGTGGCATGATGGGTTAACAATTTATGATATCCCCTGCCCTCCTTGGCCTTCCTCCTTTTGGTGCCGAGGTTACTGTTTTTTCTTTCTTATATAGACAAGGCTTATCCTGGCTTACTCTCATTTTCTTACGATTGGGATGACATAGAAGTCAGAGACGTTAAACCACTTCTTTTTTCTTTACTGACTCAACCACTTCTTTTTTTGTGCCTCATCTTGCAAAATCACTAAGAGTATGCCTCGCTAGCCGTCAACCTTGTTGCTGGAGCTTCTTATGCCTTGGCCCCTATTATGATTGCCCACCTTTATTGTGGGATGTCCAGGACAGTCGACACCAACATGCTCAAAGGTGTTGGACCTCTCTGGGTCCTTTAGTTATAGCTTCGTGCCTACTTTTCAGAGCTTTCTATTGCTCTCTCCAGTGATCCTAACATTATTTATGGCTAGCTTTTTGCTACAACCCCATGCGATAAACAAACTTTTGTCGAGTGTTTTAGCTTCTTCTATTAACAAACCAATTCATGACCTGTCTGATTATCGTTTGCTTGCAACTGCAGTCGGCATGGTTTCTCTATCACCTTGGGAGGCCCCTTATGATCAATCTACTTAGTATACGGATGCCAGGTTCTTCTACCTCTTTCACATAGTTTTGAATTATGGCCTTGGGCCCCCAACTAATTCCAATGCTCGTAATGGCATGGAGGTTTACATGCCTCAATAGTTTGCGTAGCAATTTGGTTTGGTTCAACACATCACTCATCCTTTTTCCACCACACTTAATATTGATTTTACTAATCAGCCTACTTTGGCCAATTCTTCCTTGATTCGGAAAATCTCTCGGCTCTACTCTACAAGTTGCTGATCTTTCCACATGGTCCTTTTCAAGGCCATGCCTAACATCACTGAGTTATTCAGATTATGATAGGAACGTTACGTTGCCAAGTAGTTCAAAAGTAACTTTCCCACTATGATCCAAAGAATGAATTTTCTAGCTCGTATCCCCCATTTTCCAAGGGTTGGCTCTACACATAACTCTTCTTCACCCTTGGCTCGTCAGCTAGCCTCTTGAACAAATCCTTCGATGAAAGTTCAACTTTCATCTTGTATTAGCTTACCTTATGCTCATAATTCAAGGTTTAGAGAGAAATACCAAAGTTCGACTACTATCATGATTAACCCGAACATGGCGACCTAACATGCTAGTGACCAAGCGGCTGATAATGCTCCTCTTGTTTGTCGTGTTCGTTAGTGCAATGGAACTTTATCTACCACTTCTATCCCTATTTCTACGAACCCATCACAAAATAGCATCTTTGATAGTCTTGAGCCCTTTGGGCCAACCTCTAAATCTATTCTGGCCTTTTTCGTTACAGACGCTAGATCTCTGGCCTCCCCCTCCAACTCCTTTGAAGAAGTAGTGGTCAAACCACTAAATAGTAAAAGCTCCTACTGATGTGCTAGACGCTCAGGCAACTTCAGCCATTACTTCATCAGGCTTAGAAGCTAATTAGGCCGCTGCACAAACCAAGGCCACAGAGTGGAGTCGAGCAATGGACCCATCTCAAGACATTGCACTGGCTCAAGAAGCCATACCTTTTCAAGCCTCAACCTCTTTCTCAGAAGCAAGTCTTAGATCTTTGCTGGCTTTTCTAAGAGTCTGAATTTCTGCTGGTCCAATCTTCTACCAAAAAGTAGAATGGATCTTAGATCTTGACTTTGAGGAGGCTTGTAGTAAAATGAAGTTTGTCATGGACAATCACCTAGACGAGTTGTTAGAAGAGCTAAATCGCATTGATTCTTAGCTTCACGCAATCTAAGCTCTTTTTGAATCTTTTTTGCATATGGACGAAGACTATTAAACACTAGCCTGACTTGTTGACGCGCTTCTTGTGCTTCTGGAAGAGGGTGAGCCCTTGTATCAGAAATAACAAGATTGTCTCACTATTGTTAATGGTTGACAAGAAATGCAAGTTGGTCCGAAGCCTAACGTGTGGCAGTTCAACAAACTCTCCACTTAATGCAAATCATGTCATGACCATCTTGCCTCAATGAATCGCCAAATCTTAGAGCTTGAAACTAGCCATGCGGTCTTGTTGGAGGAGGTTATTTCCTTTGATGAACGGTTCGCACACTTGGAGGCTGCCATTGATGACATTACGGCCCATGTTGATGACTCTCTCGACCAAGCCAACTTTATCATGGCTTCTTGATTCCCAAAAAATCTTGTCTCTCTGATGATGTATGTAATGTATTTTATAACTCAGAAAATCTGAGGTCGTCTCTTCAGTGAACTAGGAAATTCGAATGGTGATATGTTGCAAAATAAAATAAAAAATTCTTGTATTTGTGAAATTTTTTAGATTAGCAACTAACGTAATGAAACAAAATGGAGAAATAATTGGCCAATCCTTGGAATTCAACTTAGCCGGAAGCAAAATTAAATCGGAATCGGCAACAAACGACATGAAAATCTAAGGAAAATAGACAACAATATTGAAAGGTTTAACTTCACTAAGATTCACTACACAATAGTAAGTTCAAATACAAAAACAAAGTACAACAACTAAGCTTTAAAATAGTGAGTGGAGGTGGCAGTGATGGTGGTGGTGGGTGGTAGCAAATGGTGGGTGGCAACAGGTGGTGGAGGTGGGAGGTGGTGGTTTGTGGCGACGGTGTATAGTAGTGGACAACGATGGTGGGGGTGGTGGTGGCAATGACGGGTGGTGGTGGTAGACAAGTTTTTCACTATTTTGTGAATTAAGAGTTTCATTATATTAAAACTCAATGTTTATGTTTTTTTCTTTAATATTTTTTGAGTTCACCAGTTTTTCACTATTTTGAGTGGTGGGTGGGTGACAGTTGTTGTAGTGGTGGTTGGTGGCAGTGGGTGGCGGCGATGGTGGTTGGCGACAATGGTGGGAAATGGTGGAGACAAGTGATGGTGATTTTTGGCGACAGTGATGATGATGGGTGGCGGTGGGTTATAATGGTTAGTGGAGGTGGGTGGTGATGGTGGGCGACAATGATGGTGGTGGGGTGGCAGTGGCGTGGTGGTAGGTGGTGTTATGGTGGTGTTGGTGGTGGTTGTTGTGGACGGTGGTGGCAGGTGCTTTGTGATGGTGGTTGGCAGCGATAACGAGTGGTGGTTATGGCAATGGGTGATAATAGTGGTTGGTGGTGGTGGGTGGTGATGGTGACTGTGGTGGGTGGTGGGCGACAATAGTGGCGATGAATGGTGGGGGCAATGGTGGGGGCGAATGCTAGTGGTGGTGGTGGGATGATGATGGTAGTGATAATAAATATAAAAATAAGACAATGATAGAGGTTTTTAAATAACTTTTTTCATTAAGGGTGTGTTTACTTTAGGTATTAGCAAAGAGGAATTGGAAAAAAAATAACGTCAACCCACCTTATCCCTCTTATACCCATGCTTGGATAAATGGGCCCGATATTATCAAATAAAAATAATACCGGTCCGGATGAATAGTGTATTTAATACTACATACAACCTCTTGAATAAACCCACCTTTTATTGTGGGTGTAAATAGTGCAATTGGGATGTAGTTGGCCAAAAGACATTTTTTCCCTCAAGTATCTCTAGGATATAAATATCACTCTTTATCTTGAAGATTTTTTAGTAAATTAATGTTTATACCATCATTTAGTATTCTATCTAAACAAAGTATTAAATGGGATAAATGTAAGACTTACTACTGCTTAATACTTAAACAAAATATAAGATGAGTAAAGATTATCACTATAATTAGTCTAAGGGCCGGATGGATGAGTAAGAGATAGACAACATTATCTAATTCAGTCCTTCCTAATGCTTAAACCAAACACACCTTAAGGGTATTATTGTCAAGGGTTGATTTTGTAAACTTTTGGGCTTAAAAGTGTTGAGGCTAGACCTACGGCCAAAAGAGTTCCTGGGTGTGTAACTCTCACCAAATCTTCCAGAAAAAAGGCAAAAATATCGATGAAAATACAATAATATTAAATGTTCGAATTTTCAGAGAAGGACCAAGTCACTTGAGGGCATCTCCAACAAAACGTATAAAACTCTAAAATAACCAAAATTTAACTAATTAGTGGGATGGATTATCTGGAAGGTAAAGGAACCAAAAAAATTTCAATGATGAAGAGCCTTACACTTATGCCACTGTCATTCGAGGTCTAAGCATGTGGAATGAAGTAGCAGGGGTGAATGCAGCAAACAAACCAATGATGCCTAAGGAGGCTGCAGGTAATGAGGAGATATTACAAGAGACATGGCCAGGAATTCTCCTTTGTTGTGATGGCGCTTTCAATCCAAAGATCTCCAAGGCTGCGTGTGGA